CCACGAAACAATGAAAGGTCCGTCACAGCCAAAAAATACACTCCAGACACGCCGCTGGCACTATATATATCGTCACAAACAGCCCGGTAAAACCGTAGGCAGAGACAGAGAAGAGGACAACAAACGAGGGGCTGTGACAAACTGTTTCGTCGGAGTTTCACCAACTCATCAGGAGGCTGAACCCTCAACAGTCTGCAGAATCCCCTCACTGATTACACTGTAAATGATAATCTACCTTAACCAAAATCAAAGTAGACTATCACTCACCCACATATATACATATGTCGTTTTTTCTGTTTTTTGGTTGGTTGTTCTTCGTCGTCTTGGATTTGCTGTGTTTTTCTGTTTTTTTGTTTGTCGTTTGTGTTTGATGAAAAATCCAAGAAAAAAAAAAAAAGGCCCGCTTTGCCAGGGCCTGGGCTGGGTTCCGGTGGCGACCGTGGCGCCGTTTCGGCAGTGGTGGGGGACCACCACCCACAGGCAGCAACACATTTCGTGTTGCTGTTTCAGATAAAGGTCTTCATTTATCTGAAACAGCAACACAAAATGTGTTACTGTTGTCGTCAACAGAGACACACACAGAGAGAGAGAGAGAGAGAGAGAGAGAGAGAGAGAGAGAGAGAGAGGCCGCTTTCGAACAGCCACGTGTCAGGCACCCGCGCGCAAGGAGGTGGGCTTAGGCCCGTCCTAGTACGTGATTTCTTTTTTTTATTAATTTTAAACAGTTTTTTTAAAAGATAAGAGGTTGGCGATTAACTTAAATTTTTGTCTCATGACATAACAAGATCAGCTTTCCTGGGGAAGTCCCAGAAGTCCCAGTGTCCGGCCCAAGTCCCACCGGTGCTCCATACCTGTTGTCCTGCAAGAATGTGATGCCTGCTGGATGGACCGTGCGTTGCCAGGATGGCCTCTCCCAGCCTATAGTCGTTGGTCACAATCTCTGAGCTGTTCGGGTACAGGTACTGGCACTCCGACATGCTCAAGGGACCCCCAAAAAAGGTGCACATGTACGCAAAGGTCGTATTCAGCCGGCTATTGTTGAGCCGGTTATTGAATACAAACCCAAGACAAGGAACTCCGCGAGTCTCATACAGTGTTCTCCGCACTGCCGCCATCAGAACGAGATACCTTTCGTCATCCGTCCTTCCAAAACCATACCATGCTGTGGAGTCGATTTCCGTCCTCGAAAAGTCGCGTGGAACGACTGCAAGAAAAAAAAAAGAGACGAAATTTTTTTTTGACAAGTCGTTGGCAAACCAATTGTCAACTTGGCACAACATCATTGCACTTAATAACCATATAATAATTAAATAATATAATACCGACCACACATAGAATCCTTGTCAAATTTGGCTTTGGTGAGCTCAGGGTCGAAGAGACTAATTAGAAATTAATTTAGTAATTTGTCAAGTTTGTGAAGAAGAACCTGTAATGTACAGTAACATGAAATGAAATTTTGGGCCAGGGAAAGCGAAAACAAGGTGGTGCAGCAATGGCACTATTTTTTGAAATAAATATAAAGGCAAAAAAAAAAAAAAACGCAAATCACGGGCGAAAAGCGCATGTCAACTTGTCAAGTACTAGCAGACTTGCACCATTAAGGACACAGCGAACCTTTCATACAATCGAGAAATTAGAGAGATCACTCCATTCGCACACCACGACAGAAATGGAAGAAAAAGAAGTAGAAGAAGAAAAGAATCGGAAGAAGGAGAAGAAGAAATAAGAAAAAGAGAAGGAAGACGACACGCATGGATATGACTTCTCCCGAACGCGACTCAATCAATAACAAAAACTTGGAGTACATGGCGGCGAGGACCCGACGTTTCGGCTGCCCGCCAGACAGCACTCATCAGGGGTCTTTAGCCGCGGAGGTACTCTTTACTAACAACTACCTCGTCTATATACCTAGCGTGTCGATAGGCGAAAGAATCCTACATCCTAAAGACACGTTTCCTCGGGGACTAAAGACCTGGGATAAATCACATGGGCCTCGGGACTGGAACCTTCTGGCCGACAGAAAAACCTATAAGTTCCTCAACTGATTCAAACCTAAGCCAACGAAACTGAAAGGAGGCGAAGAGAGAGGGGAGGGGGGGGGGACCTTCCGACCGATAAGAAAAACAAACAACTGCTAACCTGAAAAGGTTCCATCTAGGCCTCGGGGCTAGAACTTTGCATCCAAAGTGCAGGTACAAATTCAAAAGTAACCATCATGGATATGCGTCTCGGGACTGTCACCCTCCGGCACAGTATCCACCACCATAATTCTTAGCAGACCAGATCGTAGGCAGATTCGAAATCCAAAAATTATTTGAAGACCGTCTGAGAGATAAAAATTGGACCCCCAATATATTTGTTCAGGAAAGACCAAACAGGTGTTTTCTTCTGACAACATCCTTTGACCCCCATTGGTCCATTGTTATTTTTATCAATACCCCTGACTCAATTGACAAAATTATTTGAACAGCCGACCCCATCGGGTCAAAATTGGAAACCACCGATTCCAACATCCTGCAAATTTTGTGGAGAAATTGACCAACGCGTCATCGAAGTAGCAATCGGGATAGTTTCTCTTCCATAACTCTATTTTAAGAGTCAGCAGAAAGGCGAATTCCATGTCGTCGACAGTTGTGAAACTCCTGGCTCGATGAAAGAAAGAAATGATAACCACCATTTTTTGTTTTCGGCTCGAGTAAGATGAAAAATCCTGGATGCTTTGAAAAACCAGCGGGTCACATACTGCCAATCTCTGATTTTTATGAACCGCAATTGAAACCACTCTGCATGGATCTTCCACAATTTTAAGAACGCAGCCAACAAAATCCCTAACAGTCACCAGAACTGGTTCTCTCCAAAACGAGATTATTATCGTAACACTTCTGAAAACTTTTGAGAATATGTTCAGCCTTGGACCGAGACTCGTCAGAATCGTGTCGATATCGTACGAAAAAATTAATGTGCACCAATTTCCTATCCAATCCTAATGACAAGAGAAAATTAAACTCATTAAAGGCACAAAGAAGACAATCAAGAGCAGGGCTGGTGGATTTGCCCATCGAAATTCCTACTATCTGACGTAGAAGTACCCCAGAAGCAACAACAAAAGTGTTCCTGAGCTCAAAGTCAACGTATGACCAAATAACGGAGAAGTCCAGAAAAATCCACCCTTCTTTTTTCTTGCCTTTAGAGAGTTTGAGAACTTTTCCTCGTTTACAAACGACAACACCACAAAAACCTTCGTTGAACCAATAATCAGTCACCCATCGGACTGCCTTTAAAATCGACTGATGGGGTAGGTAAGAAAACATTTCCTTTATATCAAAGGCCCCGTCAATCACACCATCATATCTGTTAATCTGTTTATTCATCGAGGCAATCCCCGACACCAAATCCAAAGTACATCGTAGGTTAAAATGCGACAAAGGAGGAAGTTTCCAAAGAAGGAGATTAATCGCTCGTCCAACTTTTTTGCTGGCCGATACGCAATTCTCATAATAAGAGGGACAAATCGGACGCCAACGAGAGACATCCTTATGTTTAGGCAGACAGTAAGCACGACCAAAGGAACCCTCCTCCTTCCATTTTCCAATATTTTGAAAAGATTTTTCTTGGAATTGTTGTCAGCAACGCAGTAGTCACCTTAACGAAGGTTGGATTTTCCAATAAAAGTTTCTTCATGCCCTTACCATACACCTCAGGACAACAGATATAAGGATCACCCATATTATGGTCAAGTGGCGAACAAACAAGATGAGAGAAGCACTGTTGATGGTGACAGACAAGATCAAGAGTCGGAAGATCAGATGAAACATACTCAGCAGACCCCTTAAAGAAAGGCAAGGACGAACTAGCAGATTTAATGAAACATTGAGACAAGTCACCTACTCCATCTTTGGTAGGTAGAAAGCTGCAAGAACGAAATGATCCAAGGATTTGTTGTCTTACACTAGCAACAGGATTACGAGCAGCTAGCCTTATGACGTTCTTGAAATTTCGCATATAGGAAGGAAGGGATTCAGAAGAGCTTATACGAACGAACATGTGATCATCAATATAAGGAAACGATTGATTGACATCCTTACAACAACATTTAAAAGAACCATCCCTCGCTACCCGCCTAAAATTAAAAATTACATCACCAACATTTTTGTTTCGACACCATACAGTCCGCATCCTTCGAATCAACACATCCTTCCAAGTCGGCTCGATAGTCAACTGATAATGATCCGAGCGCAAGTCCGTCGAATACCACTCTTACAAAACCTTTCGTCATAAACAATCCTTATTATCAACCGTTGACGAATCGAAATTCCAAAACGTCGTGAAGTAATTTTTGAAAGAATCAAACGAAGCCTTCCTCGAGTATGTTTCTCTTGAAAACATCGAATAGCGGAAAAAACAAACACAAATTCGTCAAACGTCCAATTACGTAATTCCAGCCTAGAAGATGGACAATTGAGCAGTAATGACAAACGTGGTTTGAACGCTAATGCCTTAAAGCAATATGGGATCACGGACTCGAATTGCACAACTATTCCACTTGTAAACCAGCCACGAGAAGATCGTAATTGGTCACAACTGAAAGAACAAGAGACAATAGAGGATCCAAAACACCATTTCAAGACTTTCCAATTATCAAGTAATATGGTTCCTCCTTGACAGACTACAACAAGATTGCAGATCTGTTGATCACGACAGTAGTTCAAAATACGAAGTAGACTAGTGGAAGTAATACCAACTGAGGAATGGAAACAGACCAGCGATCTATTATAGAGTGTCGGAGGATTTCTGACTGCACAACCCTTTCCGTTTATTCTACTTTCGTTGCTAACGTTTGCCCAATCGTTTCTTCCAACATTTTCGTGGTTTATCCTTAAAATTAAGGTCTCATGAAAACAGTCAAATAAAGAATTTCTCCGTAGTCAGTTTATCTTCTTCAGTACATTTACACACTGGAATAGCTACGTATTGATGGGCACCGCATCGTCTAATCCATCTATGTAGCCTTTCATTACGACGAATTTCCGTTTCATTATCAGGGTTATTGGCCCTATAAACGTGTTCCGACCATCGAACATCAAGATTTCTACTAGTACTACTAACGTACAAGTGCTTACACCATGGAGATACTAACACATAAACCAAAGGACCATCCACGTTGATATTTGAACCACAAGATTTCGACCACCCAACAATGCAAGATGAGAGTTTCGCAGCCCATGGAATTAGACTACTGAGGATAAGACAGATCACCACAAGACGAAAAAGAGAATTAAGCAATTTCTCTCGTAAATATCGTGAGGAGGTCTGTCTAAATCGTGCACAGGATCTAGCAAGAGCCCATAGGGTCATAGGTGAGACGCGTCCGGGAGAGATTCTAAGAGACAGCAGAATCTCTCCCGTCATCCGTACCTTCGTTGTTCTAACCATTACAGACATCTTCAGAGGTATCTTGTGTTCCTTTGTCATCACCAAATGCCTCAGCCACTCTCTTAGCAACGATCGCGACAATCGTTTCCGGTATCCCCTTTTTTTTACAAATCTTCACGATGTCATATTTCTTTAGTTGTCGCAGCTCCTTCTTTTGTCCCTTGATGAATGCTTCGTGTTTGTTTCCCTCGAAATCATCGTCGGAAGGATTGATCTTCTTTTTCCCTCGATCGGTCTTCCCGCCAGACAGATCAACAACCTCATCCAACTTCTCTCGTAAATTCGTTCTTGGTGTTCGAACATTGGGACCCGCAAGTTCCATCTGCGCTAGCTTCTCCTTCATAGTAGCAAGCTCCTGTTCTGCTTCTCCGCGACGATTCAATTCTTGAAGGCGCATCTCGTTAAGCGCATTCGTTTCCAAGTTATGTAACTCCTTCAGCTGCGTCCGAACTCGAAAGGGCAATGGAAGTGTCGTGCATCGCCGTTGGTAAGAATTTTTTTCATTTATTTTCTTTCCCTGTCTGACGTCACGGCAGACCCCTGTAGTTATGACACCCGCTGCCTGTACCACGGCCCCCGGTGGTTTCATCGCCCTTTTGGGCTTGGTGGCCGTTGATTTTGCCCGTTCATGTATTTTTTTTGCCCTTTCGAACTTCTTTTGTGACACAAACGAAGTTACATTTAAAAAAAAAAAAAAAAAATGCCAAACAAAATCCAGCAATTCGATTTGAAAAGTCACTAGAACCTTAAGACCTCTGGATTCTCCAATCT